TCAAGTAAATCTGATTTGTGTCTGCAACACTAATGAAGTGAGTTGGCATCCCATAGCATCACGACTCCAGCTTCTGCTTGCGAGATGCTAGCAAACTTGATTTTTAATCCAAGACGGGCATGTACAGGGAATAAGTTTCTGAATACTGAAGGTAGGAATTATGAGTACAGAATCCCCTCAGAATAAGTGTAGAGTTCCCCTTTAATACTGTGCCTCAGAATATGTCTACATTCAGCACCTAAGCTGTTTCTTTTTTAACATGAATACAAAGAGCATTAGAAGACTCCTAGATTTACTAGTTTGTTACATGCGAACATAATTTTTCCATTTCGAGAAAAAGAAATATCAGACTTGCATTCCATTATGTAGGGAAGAAAAACTATATTCCTAATTTTCCATCATAGTTAAAAACATAAGAATGATGAGTGGACATAGCTGAAGGTGAATCACTATAAACCTGTGTGTGTTTCTCTAAAACATGAGATTAACGGCAGGTTACTGGTGTCTTGTCTTGTGCAATTTGTTGTATATTATTAACACGCAAATCCATCGAATTTCAAAGCATAGCTAACAAAATGGCACATGAGGTAAGATTAGATTAAGATCCCACTTACAACGTTGTGAGCATATTGTCATTTCTACTGCAGGTTTGGGGATAAGGAAAAAAAAAATGTCCACCCTAGGTTGAACATAGAATTTGTACACAATCAAAACCTTGAACTAGTTTACATTCTTCCATCTAGACATAGTCAAGCCGTGTGCACTGCCTCTCGAACTTTTAAATGACCATGGTTTTCTGCCTGTCCCAACTATTTTCACTTGGGGTTTGTACTTTCTTGGCATTCTTGGCCCAACTGTTTTCGTGCTGAGGTTGTACTATCTTGGTATTTTTACCCCTTGCAGCTATTTTCCCACGTTGAATGTACAGTCTTGATATTCTCGCCTCTGATATTTTCATGCTGTGGTTGTGCCATGTTGGCATTTTTCTCCCTGCCGTGCAGCTGCGAAAATTGTACCTTGGCACTCTTTTACTTTCCTCTGATATTCGTTCCTCTACAGTTAAAGTTTCAGACAAGAAGGTCCCAAGCGCTTACACCACCGCTCTCTACAATTATTTATACCATTATCAGCTTGTCTGAATGGACTACGTAAAATTTTAGGCATTATGTAAAAGAACAAGTAGCATGGGATTGTGTTGGTTAGCCATCGTAAGCTAAATTTTTGCTCAAAATCTAATTAGAATCATGTTATACTCGATAGGGTGAAAGCTCAGGGATCCAGGATGATGATAACTCAGAGAATTCGATATGCAATCACATCTCCTTCCTGCAAAATGAATGAAGAGGATGATTGACATTGATGAGTTACACAAATTTTTTCCAAGTTCAACATGCATCATGAGCTTCACATAATGGTCTGAAAATCAGAATAATATTTCAATCTCTGAACTTAAATCTTACTGCCCAATCTTTGTGAAAAATTAAGTTAAAACACTGATGGCAGTAAATCGTGAAAGTGTATAAGAAGAATATAACTTGAGCATGCTACAAAGAGGTTGAAGGTTATCGAAGTCAATTCCCATATATGACAGTCTCTTTTCCATTATCCGGTGTTTCATAACACTTTCTTTGAATCTTTACTCTCATTTCTTTGAGTGGACGAACATTTTGCGGTAACCCATTTTTGGCCCTTCTTATTGCTAGTATTCCATTCCATTGGATTTTTTCCTGAAGAAAAACTCAAAATTTCTGCAGAGGTTATATGGCACAAATTGAAATGACAAAACATTTAACAGAATTGGAAAGCAGGAAAGAAAAAGAAAAAAAAACTCCAAAAATAGTTCGACATGCTTAGTGATATCAAGGTACATTGTACACCCAATAGGTATATGATGACAGAGAGAAATGGAGACAAAGGCAAGCGTGTACCATGTTGAGGTAGAAGAGATGCATCTTGATATAGTTCCCTCAAGCCTCATTTTGATCTACAAGAAAACCAGAAAGTAACATACCACCGATGTGTGAGTCATGTGACTTTGAAACAAAGCTGGTTCTACATAATAATAATGTTCATAGATCAAAACCATCTAGCACCATTTCATGCTGGAATAACGCAATTCACTAGTCACCACAGTGGACACTTATCAAGTTCATTTTCACTGGTCTCTGTTGCAATCCTGATTCCCAAGTCTCGTTGAATAAAAGAAAAAATGGCTTCTTGGTATTGTTAGTACCAACTATTCATACATAGACACATTCTCAATCGACCATATGGCCATTAGCTTTTTACAGGATGGTCTCTTTAGACCTCGATCAAAAAGTCAAGTGGAAATTCGTCTTTGAATGACCCCTATAGAATAATAGCTTTGAGAACTGCAAGTTTGTAAGATTCTAACCACATCTAAAACTAGAAAGAATTTTGAGGACATTTTCTTGTATTTTAGCCGGTCAAAACCAAAGGTTAAACAACAGAGAGCAAACATCATCTTGAAAAAGGAAAGACTATCTTATACGTAAACCTACCTTTTCTTGCTTGGCTTAGAATCATCATTGCTGTCATTTAGTTTAGCATTTTCCTGCTGGTTTTCCACGTTTCCTTTGTCATTAGAATCAGATTTCTTCTCCATCTGGGTAAGGCTCTTCTGTTTTGTTAGAATTCCATCCCGGTAAGGGTTTGCAATCTTTCTACATGACCCTCACTTGTGGCAGTTTCAGAAGCCTCGGAATGTTTTTTTTTTTTTTTTAATTTCAAAGCATAGCTAACAAAATGGCACATGAGGTAAGATTAGATTAAGATCCCACTTACAACGTTGTGAGCATATTGTCATTTCTACTGCAGGTTTGGGGATAAGGAAAAAAAAAATGTCCACCCTAGGTTGAACATAGAATTTGTACACAATCAAAACCTTGAACTAGTTTACATTCTTCCATCTAGACATAGTCAAGCCGTGTGCACTGCCTCTCGAACTTTTAAATGACCATGGTTTTCTGCCTGTCACAACTATTTTCACTTGGGGTTTGTACTTTCTTGGCATTCTTGGCCCAACTGTTTTCGTGCTGAGGTTGTACTATCTTGGTATTTTTACCCCAGCTATTTTCCCACGTTGAATGTACAGTCTTGATATTCTCGCCTCTGATATTTTCATGCTGTGGTTGTGCCATGTTGGCATTTTTCTCCCTGCCGTGCAGCTGCGAAAATTGTACCTTGGCACTCTTTTACTTTCCTCTGATATTCGTTCCTCTACAGTTAAAGTTTCAGACAAGAAGGTCCCAAGCGCTTACACCACCGCTCTCTACAATTATTTAAACCATTATCAGCTTGTCTGAATGGACTACGTAAAATTTTAGGCATTATGTAAAAGAACAAGTAGCATGGGATTGTGTTGGTTAACCATCGTAAGCTAAATTTTTGCTCAAAATCTAATTAGAATCATTTTATACTCGATAGGGTGAAAGCTCAGGGATCCAGGATGATGATAACTTAGAGAATTCGATATGCAATCACATCTCCTTCCTGCAAAATGAATGAAGAGGATGATTGACATTGATGAGTTACACAAATTTTTTCCAAGTTCAACATGCATCATGAGCTTCACATAATGGTCTGAAAATCAGAATAATATTTCAATCTCTGAACTTAAATCTTACTGCCCAATCTTTGTGAAAAATTAAGTTAAAACACTGATGGCAGTAAATCGTGAAAGTGTATAAGAAGAATATAACTTGAGCATGCTACAAAGAGGTTGAAGGTTATCGAAGTCAATTCCCATATATGACAGTCTCTTTTCCATTATCCGGTGTTTCATAACACTTTCTTTGAATCTTTACTCTCATTTCTTTGAGTGGACGAACATTTTGCGGTAACCCATTTTTGGCCCTTCTTATTGCTAGTATTCCATTCCATTGGATTTTTTCCTGAAGAAAAACTCAAAATTTCTGCAGAGGTTATATGGCACAAATTGAAATGACAAAACATTTAACAGAATTGGAAAGCAGGAAAGAAAAAGAAAAAAAAACTCCAAAAATAGTTCGACATGCTTAGTGATATCAAGGTACATTGTACACCCAATAGGTATATGATGACAGAGAGAAATGGAGACAAAGGCAAGCGTGTACCATGTTGAGGTAGAAGAGATGCATCTTGATATAGTTCCCTCAAGCCTCATTTTGATCTACAAGAAAACCAGAAAGTAACATACCACCGATGTGTGAGTCATGTGACTTTGAAACAAAGCTGGTTCTACATAATAATAATGTTCATAGATCAAAACCATCTAGCACCATTTCATGCTGGAATAACGCAATTCACTAGTCACCACAGTGGACACTTATCAAGTTCATTTTCACTGGTCTCTGTTGCAATCCTGATTCCCAAGTCTCGTTGAATAAAAGAAAAAATGGCTTCTTGGTATTGTTAGTACCAACTATTCATACATAGACACATTCTCAATCGACCATATGGCCATTAGCTTTTTACAGGATGGTCTCTTTAGACCTCGATCAAAAAGTCAAGTGGAAATTCGTCTTTGAATGACCCCTATAGAATAATAGCTTTGAGAACTGCAAGTTTGTAAGATTCTAACCACATCTAAAACTAGAAAGAATTTTGAGGACATTTTCTTGTATTTTAGCCGGTCAAAACCAAAGGTTAAACAACAGAGAGCAAACATCATCTTGAAAAAGGAAAGACTATCTTATACGTAAACCTACCTTTTCTTGCTTGGCTTAGAATCATCATTGCTGTCATTTAGTTTAGCATTTTCCTGCTGGTTTTCCACGTTTCCTTTGTCATTAGAATCAGATTTCTTCTCCATCAGGGTAAGGCTCTTCTGTTTTGTTAGAATTCCATCCCGGTAAGGGTTTGCAATCTTTCTACATGACCCTCACTTGTGGCAGTTTCAGAAGCCTCGGAATGTTTTTTTTTTTTTTCCTTCCTATATTTCACAATGTGAGTTCTTTAATCAACAAATTGAGGCGTTGATCTTTAAACATAAATAAAACATGCAGATTGCCGTAGATAAGACAAGGGCAAGATAGCATAGAGTATTAATTACATGGAATACTGAAATTTCTCTGATGCTTTTCTTTTCAATTATGCTGTGTACAGTGTCGTACATGTACAGCACACTCACAATCGTGGGGTTGCTATTATTTTAATCGCGGACCCCACCTCTTGTATGTAAGAGGGCTATCAATCATGATATCAAAATTGTTGTACTTCTAATATTGTTCTTTTCCTTTTCACTTCTCGAAATCTGTATTTACAACAGATGGATTTTCCACATCTTTCAACTAGTCATCTTCACCTTCCTCTTCAGAGTCATCACTCTCATAAACTTCTTTTCCCTTCTCAAACTCCACATTTGAGAAGCTCTCAACTAAAGCAATACACTACTATATTAGTCCAACAATGTAGGGGTTAGAAAGAGAATCTCTCAACTTTAGTGAGTGAAACACTCACTGAAGTTGCTCCTTGCATTTGTGAGCTCATTGAATTTTTGTTTTGTTTTGTTTTACCTTCGTAAAGTGGTAATGTCGAATCCAGCAACGCAGATTCAGTTTAATCTGTCGAGATTCAATTTTAGGGGGTGTTTGATATACATTTTTATGTAAAAATGCATTTTAGAATAGTAAATTGATGTGAAATGTGTGGTTGAAAAATAAGAAAAAAATTGATTTACGTGTAATATTATTTTAATAAAGAATGTGTAGTTGAAAAGAAAAGAGAGAAAAATACATTTTGAAGAAAATGGTTACCAAACGAGGCCTTAATACAAATTCTGCCGGTGATAATTGTTGGATTGATTCATCTTGATTTTTCGATTATTGGATTCCATAATTTCCAATTTTGTGATAATTAATTAGGACATGTTGGCCAAGCATTAAAAAAATAAGAAAAAGCTTTACCTAATTAACTTAATTTCATTGAATTTTCCTATTTACTTATAAGTAATTTTTTAAGCATAGGCAAACATGGTATATCAGTAATTTTTATCTAATAAAATAATTAATTATATAATGTGTGAAACGCTGGTTGCAGTCAGTCACATGGACTGTCAAAATAAATTGCTCCCTCTCTTTCTCACACACACAGTGCAGGGAGCGAGCAAAGCCAGCAGCCAAGCTGGCGTATAGCCCGAAGCGAGCAACGGCGGAGCTCCGCCATTCCAGCTCCATCGGCAGTCGGGTGACGCCGTCCCCTACTGCCACCGTAACGGCCTCCTCCCCATTGTCCCCCGACAATAACCCATCCGCCGCGGACGACGACGACGGCCGCGATCGACACTCTCGAGATCGCTCTCTACGGTCTTACCTCCAATCTCTCCCCCCTCATTCGACTTTCCCTATCGACGATCTACATAGGCCCAACCCGTACAACTCCGAGATCTCGCTTTTTGTACTTGTTGCAATTGTACTTGCCGTCGTGATTTCGATCTCTTCTATATTCAATAGATTTGTAAGACCTTATTTTATATATGTGTACATTTACGCGTCATAATTTTTGTTAGCAAATAAGAGTAATTTCTATGAAAGGCTTCCCTGTGTTTTTCATCTGTTTTATGGACTGTTAGTTGATTCATGTATTCGTTGATTTCAATATATTACTGCGTCGGATTGAAAGATTTGGTGCTCACTTATTCGTGATTGGGTAAATGAAATTTGTTCTTGAAATGTCATTATAGAATAACTGAATTTGTTATTCAAAATGTTGAAAAGTTGGTAAATTAAAGATAGATATGGACTATGACTGCTTTCTTTTTATGATTGGCCCTTTTATTTGTTTGGTGCAATTTGGCCCCCCATTACGAAAAGTAATTTTTTTTTTTTTTTTTCAAATAATGAGTTGTTGAAAAAGAATGAAAATTTTTGGTTCCACGAGTAATATATTATTTTATAGAAGATTGTATGATTAAAATGAGAGGGAAAAATAAAATTTAATTTAACCGGGGCTGAACTGGGGCCAAGTAATGTTGAAATTTTTTTATTTATTTATGTATATGTATATCTGTTGTCAATGTGCCATCCAAATTCTAACCATTATTATTTTGCCCTCCTCTCTACACCTGATGCAGAATGCTCCATATTTGTGCAAAAAAGATGGCATAACTCTTGTCTGCCCTAATGTAAGTACTCGAATATTGAATCTTTCTTTTCTTGAACGTTGTCATCTTATTGTTTCGGTTGCAATTTAATTGTAGATTTTTTAATTTGACTAGGTAAAAGAGTCTTCATCTCTATGGGAGAACCCTTATTCAGCTACTACATCATGGAAGCCTTGTTCTGCACGACACAAGAGCATAATTTCAGGTGAGTAAACTGCATATGCTTAGCCTCTTTGTGATAATGGGACTGATTTTGCAAGAAAAACTAAGTAGAAAACTGGGAAAACTCACCAATTTTGAACCTTGTCTATTGGTGAAAATTTAATCCAACTTCTGTTGGATACTTAATTGGTTTTTCAAGACAGTGGGCATGTGTAGTTTAACTTAATTTTGAAAAGTATCAGGCAGAGATAGCATGTAGTAAATGGAAATTACTACTATTTGTGAGCTCTGTTCTTTTAGAACACTAATGTGTTAATGTCGAGCACCACTCCAATGCTAAAACTGTTTGACTTGGGAAACAAGGAAAAAATGATTTTTAGTGGGAGGAGTTGTATTTTAAATTGCATTAACATTCTACAATTTGGTGAGGCTGATACAGAATCTGTTAATGTGGTTTCTTCTATACTGCACTTGGTCCAAAATCATGTAAGGGCCAGATGGCGATGGGATAATGTCATTTGAATGATCTGTTTCCTCTACATTTATAAACCTTACCATTCAGTTTGTTACTTCATGTTCCTGGTCGTCTTCTTTCTCCTTTCCTCTTTTTTTTTTTTTTTTTTTTTTTTTTTTTCACTATATCCTGGGGTTGGTGGTGTTCTACCTTTACTTGCACATTTCCATTTCTCCTTGAAAATTAAAATAATATCTATGTAAAGAATATGTAAGTTAAGCCGAACTAAGTACTGATTCTCTATCAATAATGGATATTACCGAGCTTATTTCTATCAGTACCTTGTTTTCATTTCTAAATTTTATGCTTCTTAAATCAGGATTTGTATTTAAATGACTCTAACTCAATATGCATGTGGAAATATAATTTCTTCTTTCTTCAGTATCTTTTTGTCATTTCTGTAAGATTGCATTTCTTCATTTTGTGTTGCTTACAACGGAATGTGTATTTAAATGACTCTTAAGTCAGCATGCATATAGAAATAGAAATGCTATGGCCTTTCCAAAGATTGGTGCTCATTTTGTTTCTTCGCAGATCTTCCATCAGAGAATGAAACAAATGGCTATATTTTCATACATGCTGAGGGTGGTTTAAACCAGCAAAGAATTGCCGTATGTTTCTCTTCAAAAAGAATTTTGTCTGGGATGTAGCAAAATTTATCATGTCAATATTAATTTTTTTTTTTCTGGTCGTGTGCAGTTTGCTCTTAGATCCTTTTGAAACTTAAATGAATTTATTGTTTGATATTTAGTTGATGTCATACTTGATGAAGGCAAATGTTCCAAAGAATGTGATTTGCTTTGGTGACATTTTTCTAAATGTTCAAAAGCTGATTCTTTCAAATAAATTTGAGAACCTTCATCACTTTAAATGGCCACAGGAAATCTATTTAGGGGCTTGACTATTATTATGCTACCAAGCAGATATGTAATGCTGTTGCTGTGGCCAAAATTATGAATGCTACCCTCATCTTGCCCGTGTTGAAGCAGGATCAGATTTGGAAGGACCAAACGTGAGTGAACTCCATTGAAACTGTTTACATTGTGTTCTAGTTCAATTTTTCGAGCATTACACACATCAACTTTTAGGGCGGCATTTGTGATATTGATTATTTTGTTTGCAATACTTCTTGATGAGATTACAATAGTGAGAATACTCAAGTAGATTCTCTCCATGCCTTTGCTGCAGGTCATTTTACTAACACCTTGCTTAGTGCCATCAGCTTAAAGAATCTGCTAGATTCGACTCTATCATCTGTTTCCCGTAGCCCCTAAAAGTCAAGAAAGTCACCCAATACGTCAATTTGCAATATGAAATACAGACTTTATTAGAATCTCCAATTGCTACCTGTTTCTGTATTGAAAATACACAATTGCTACAGGAAATTTCAAGACATTTTTGATGTAGATCATTTTATTGACTACTTGAAAGATGATGTGCAAATTGTTCGGGATATCCCAGAATGGTTTACTGACAAATCAGAGCTGTTCACTAGCATAAGGTTTGAGAACTTTATATTTTCTCTTTTATCGAGTATGTATGCACTGTGTATATTACTATTTTATTCCAACTTCGATAATTCATTTCAAACCATTTTTATTAGGAGCTTTGAATTTTAGACTTGGCAGTTTTAGATATGAAATATATATAGCTGGTTCTGAACTTCACTGGAAGAATTTCTGGCTAAGATCATAGAATTACTTTAATGAAAATTCAGAGGAATAATAACTCTGTTCAACTTTATTGTGTGTGAAAACAAGCCTGATGTAGTTATCTTCTCATGGATTTAGGCTATTCAAATGGAAATTTAATTTGATCATGTCAAATAAAGGTTATCTACTCACATGGCAACTGAAGAGTCAATATTTTACATTGTGTGCTATTTGATTTTAAAAAATCAGAGGTGTATGCAAGTTTTAGTGGATTAACTTGTGACGGGCAACAAAAAGTGAAACGATCGCATCCTTAGTTTTTGTTTATAACTAAAATTACTTGTAGAAGTTTCTTGGAGCCGCATGGTGAACAAGGGACACGAGAAAATGGCTGTAGTTTGTAGACTGCTTAAAACTTAAGAACTGAAAGTCTAATCTTTAAAATAAAAAAGTTAAATTTCCCAGTGCCTCAGTTTTATTGCATAATACTTGTATAATTTTACACATTCTATGATTTCTTATGGTCCATGATAGACGGACAGTCAAGAACATTCCGAAATATGCTCCTGCTCAGTTCTACATTGACAATGTTTTGCCTCGAGTCAAGGAGAAGAAGATAATGTCATTGAAACCTTTTGTTGATCGACTGGGGTAAGTATTTTCAAACAATACAATTCTTTCTGGGACCTTGATTAGCTTTTAGCTATAGTAGTTTATTTCTGTTGTGACCCTTGTTCATCAGGTATGATAATGTTCCTCCTGAAATCAACAAGCTAAGGTGTAGGGTAAACTATCATGCTCTGAAATTCCTTCCTGAGATTGAGCAGATGGCTGATTCTCTTGTATCAAGGATGAGAAACCGAACTGGCAGTTCAAATCCTTTCATGTGAGTGACTTTGGATCTGTCTTGGGTAGTTTTGCTGAAGTTAATTTTTGTTCAACAATTTCCATTTCCTTTTCCACGAGGAGTTTTCAATAATATTTTTCCTACCAAATGTGTCAGGGCTCTTCATTTAAGGTTTGAGAAAGGTATGGTGGGCCTATCATTTTGTGATTTTGTCGGAACAAGGATGGAGAAAGCTCTAATGGCTTTATACAGACAAAAAGAATGGCCTCGGCGGTTCAAGGTAACCAATATTATTGTCGAAATTTGTGTCCATATCAAAAGAAATTGCAAAACTAATGTTTGTATCCAATCTTTCTGGTGTGTTATCTTGCAGGATGGTTCCCATCTTTGGGATGTAGCTCTGCAGAAGCGGAAGGAAGGGCGTTGCCCGCTCGAGCCTGGTGAAGTGGCGGTGATGCTTCGTGCTATGGGCTATCCTAAAGAAACTCCTATATATGTTGCTTCTGGGCAGGTTTATGGTGGACAGAACCGCATGGCACCACTCCGGAACATGTTCCCCAATCTAGTGAGTTATTTGCTTAATTTGCTGTTTAACTGCTTATCTTATTATAGGGTCAAAATGCCAATAGCTACTTCAAGTTTTAATCTCCTTTTCATTTTACTCACGAATATCCATTCCAGCCAATGGAATAAAATCATGAATAGTGGGACCATTTACAAATCGTTTCCTGTTTTAAAGTGGTTGGATACTCGTTATTCAACTTTTTCTATACGACTATACTTGTGAGTATCAAGCATTTCTGAATAACTGCAGAAGCCAATGGAAGCATCTCATGTTTTTTATTCTCTTATATACTGTAGTCAACTTTTTCATTAAGTATTGGTGACAGGTCACAAAGGAGGAACTGTCAACCAAGTCAGAGTTGGATGGATTCAGGAAGCACGTAACGAGCTTGGCAGCTCTGGACTTCTTGGTCTGTTTGAAGTCTGATGTCTTTGTGATGACCCACGGAGGAAATTTCGCTAAATTGATAATCGGATTTCGTAGGTACATGGGTCATCACCTTAAATCAATAAAACCCGACAAGGGTCTTATGTCGAAATCTTTAGGTGACCCGTACATGGCCTGGGCCAACTTTGTGGAAGATGTCATCGTTACTCACCAGACACGAACTGGCTTACCTGAAGAAACTTTCCCCAACTATGACATTTGGGAGAACCCTTTGACCCCTTGCATGTGTAGAGCTTGATCGTGATAGTTCTCAGTGTAGCTCAAACCACAGGATATTCGTTGAGAGCATTTCCTTGAACAAACACATCCAAGTGCATCAAGAAAATTTTCAAATTTAATTTTGCTTTCAACTCTTAGTGCATGTTTGGTACGCAATACTGAAGGATAAAATAAACAAGACTTTAACTACTTTGATACTCTTGTGCCAAACATGACATTAAAGTTGAGTAAAACCATACTGCACAATTGATGCTAACTTGGAATTTAAGTGCCTTTATAGAGAGAAGTCAATGGAATGTAAGTGTATGTAACTGAGGGCTTTGAGGTTGGTAAGCCTGTTAGGATCAATAGATGCGATCTTCAACAAAATGATACACTAATTTTGTATGGGAATACAATTTTATTTTTCTTTGTATAATTATGATTGCATAATATAAAATGCCATGTTTGTTATGCCGAATGTCCAATTTACTTTACCAAACATAAGTTTGGTGGTTTGCAGAGCATAGTTTACCTGAGGTTATGTTGTTGTAGTTCGTGTGCTAGTAATTATCATAATTCTTGGCTCTTCGAAATTTGAAATGATTTCAAATTTGTAGAAAGATTTTTTGCTGATTTTAGTGTTGTCTATGAAATTCAAAAACTCCATCTGCGAATTTATTACATCCAAATGGGTGAAGATTAAGATTGATGATGGGAAAATCCTACCTAATTGAACTCCTATTCGTGTATTTATTGGTATTTTGTATTGTGTCAAGTTTATCAATGGTCATCCACTTTAAATTTAATGTCATCATGGCCGTTCAATTTAATTTTATTTTACTGTGGCTACTCAATTTTATATTTAATGTCATTATGATTATTTAATTTTATTTTATTTTATCATGGTCACTTAATTTTATATAACATTTCACGATAGTCATTGAATTTCATAAAATGTTTTACTATGGTCAACAACTTGCTTTTATCATTTTCACTAATTTTAAAGAGGGTAAAACGGTAGCTTCGTATTATATATTAAAAAATTAAAAATTAAAATAAAAGTTTGGTATTGTGAGTAGTACAAATGAAAGATTCGGATTAAATTTGCATAAAAGTGAAAAGTTTGGTATGGTGACTATAATTTTTACTAATTTATTTATTTTTTACCACAATCTAACGTACACATCTATTGTTTACTCTTTTTTCCCATATCATCACATATGAATCTATGACATATTGTTTATTATGGTAAATGTCTGAGGTATCTTGCGTAGAATTAGAAGGAATATATGATTAGGAGGGACAAAATTAGGGAGGATATGATTTGGAGGGATTGGTTTAAGGCGGATAAAGGGATCATTCTAATACAACGTTTGATGTTATATCGTATTAGAAAAAATATACAAGTATTTAAAATATAAAAAAATACTATTACAATATTCTTTCATCTTAATATATTTTTTCTTACTTATGTATAAAATTCACTTATAAGTGATTGGAAATATTTTTTCTTATAAGTCATTTTTTTACTTATTAATTATTTTTCCTTATAAATGATTTTTATCTGATTTTTGACATATAAATAACTTTTCATTTTAAAGTTATTTTTTAACTTAGAATTAATTTTTATAAAAAAATGTGAATATTTATCCATCGCAATATTTTTACTTATAAATGATTTTTGACTTACAAGTGAATGTTGTTTTTACATGAAATTGAATTCTTTTTATTGTAAATACTTTTTTTACTTACAAGTAAATTTATCATTACAAGTTCCTTTTATTTTTTCTGGGTAAGTAAAATTTTTAGTTTCCAATTGTATGTAAATTTAGGCATATTAATTTAAGTATTGTTTCTTAATTATGGTAAATAAATATTACGGTCTTAACCCACCTCATATAACGTATTAATCTTATATAGTTGATTAAAGGAGAACAACCACCTCCTATTAGCTTAATTAGAGTACTTATTTCACCAAACACAAGATCACTTGTAAAGTTGACTAATAGAAAATAACCATCCTAAATGATTTAATCCAATGAGAAATGCTACGGTAACAGGTTGAAAAACAGGGTTAAAAATAGGCTGCACATGTGTCGATTTCTGATTGGATAGTTTGAAAAAAAAAAAAAAAAACACCCAACAACTTACTGACACATCAGTCTGTTTTTTGTTCTCTATTTTTGAGTCTGGTTGTTTCTCATTTTTCCAATCCAATTATTTATTTCGCCAAACATCGGATAAGGATTAAATAGTATTAATTTAGCTCTTATCCGGTATAATACGACGCTCTGAAAGCGCCCTAATTGATTGATGACTACCTTCATAGAGCTCCAAGCTTCCCGTATAAACGGGTATTAATTTCCCAAAAGAATCCTTAATAACCATAATATTATTCACTTCTCTTAATTAGTCTCTGTTGCCATAATTAATACAAATTAATCTTTTCGTATCAAGAAAAATATTATAAAAGCATCATCATCTATCCACTGGTTTAGCACTGCAATTTTCTCGTTCCGAAAAATAGTAATGGATTCAAATTTTCTCGATTCTTGTGCATTTTGCCAGAATAAAATTAATAACGGCAGTGAAATATTCATGTACACGTAAGTAATTCTTTCCAGTTTTCAGTAACTACTTTCTAAGGACATTCATGCTAGAAATTGAGTCTAATTTGTGAAAGAACTACGTCATATATGGAATTGAATATGTTATTAAGAAAAACATCGATCTTTTTAATTTTCGGTCATCGAAAGCAGTTTGTTCTTTGCAGTGATCGAGCTTATTGCGCCTCAAGATGTCGAAGTAAAGTTTGTTGGCAGAATTTTGTGAATAGTGACGCCAAAATAAGTATAATGATGGTTTGTAAATCCGTGCCGAAAATTGGACAGAGTAACGGCAAAGAAAACACAAACAAGAAGAAGAAGAAAGTAGGGACAAAGCCGAGGCAAGAGTTGGACTCTTTGTCCTTAAATCGAATTTGCCCCGCAACGGTGCCTACGGATTTCGGCAATCGACTCCCAAGATACAACGGCTATACTTGTGTTTGTAGCACTCCAAAACACAAGTACAACGAACCAAATTTAGGCTTATCCGCTTATGTACTCCAAGGATGAAATGAAGGAAAATCAAAATAAATGAAATGATTTTGATTTTGGATAGAAGAGAGGATGAGAGATGTTTTGCATATCAAAATTGTGAGGAATAGGACACCCAAAGGATCCTATTTATAGACTATGAAAGGGTGTGGACGAAATGGTTGAGGCCAAACCATGCACCCTTTCCAAACAATGCACCTTTATGAAAAGGTGTCTATTCACTGATTTTCGTCCTTTTTCGTAATTTCTCATTCATCAGATATTGGTTTTCGAAATGCCAATACATGCAGAGAAATCAAAATTCTCTTTCGAGGGCGTTGCCCCCTCGACCCCCGCGACCTGACCGGGCAGGTTGATCCCCGTTTGTGCGCCCCGAAGCGGCGAAGTGAAACAATTTTGCCTAAACGGATTGAGTCGAGCTTTTAAGTATTTGGCCGAAGTCGATACGAAGTCACTTTAATCGATTTTCAATTCTCGATTTATTTAACCAATATTCAACAATCCCCCACATGAATGGAAATTCCTCGATATGCGCAACACAATGCGAATGCAATGCAAATGAAATGCAGACTCTAACAAATGGAGTACACACGACAAGTCGTAGCATCAAGATAGGTAGCTTGTGGCCTTGAACCTTCTTTAGTTGAATACAATCGGATTTACTAGGCTAGTTGGTGAACGCGATGTCTTGAACCATCCAGCCGTTCGTGTAAAACCAAACAACTGTACCAACACCATGACTCATCTAACCTATTCGGTTCTCATGGTTGAGTCCATTTTAGCCCTGGACAACTCTTGGTTTCATAAGTGCTCTAAGAGAATTAAGCCTCAAATTCTCGTAGAAACGGCCCCATTTCACACTTATATAGGTGATCTCATACCTTTCTATCTCAAGGTTATGAATCATTAAAAGTATATATGTATACTTATCCTTATGCACATTTTACATAGCACTTTAAATTTTAGGAATGGGAATAAGTGCTTTATTTCGAATCATTTATGACTTAGTTGTCCCATTGAACCAAGATCTTGGGATCTCCAATCTACAAGGTTGGGTTTCCGTCATAGTAATTCTATTCAATAGGCTTTAGGCCCATTCCCCTCGAAAGATGGTATACTTGATCTCTTGCAAGTCCTTTCGTCAAAGGATCAGCCAAATTTTCTTTTGACTTCACATAGTTAATAGAGATTATACCATTCGATATTAACTGTTTAATGGTATTATGTCTCCGACGTATATGTCGAGACTTACCATTATACATACTGTTTTGTGCCCTTGCTATTACCGACTGATTATCGCAATGTATATTAATTGCAGAAATCGGCTTTTCCCAACATGGAATTTCTTCAAGAAAATTACGAAGCCATTCTGCTTCTTCACCGGCTTTGTCTAACGCAATAAACTCAGATTCCATCGTGGATCGAGCAATACATGTTTGCTTAGACGATTTCCAGAACACGACTCCACCTCCAATGGTAAATACATAACCACTCGTGGATTTTGAATCCTTAGTGTCAAATATCCAATTTGCATCAGTATATCCTTCTAATACCGCAGGATATTTTGAGTAGTGTAATCCATATTCAACCGTGTATCTTAAATATCTAAGAACTCGATTTAATGCCTTCCAATGTACAACACTTGGATTACTAGTGAATCTACTCAACTTGTTGACTATATATGCTATATCCGGTCTTGTGCAGTTGGTAATATACATTAAACTACCAATGACACGCGAATATTCCAA